AGAGAGAGAGAGAGAGAGAGAGAGAGAGAGAGAGAGAGAGAGAGAGAGAGAGAGAGAGAGAGAGAGAGAGAAAGAGAGAGAGAGAGATGCAATGCTATCTGGTTTGGCAGGGACAATTGACAAGAACTACGTGGTTGAAAGGAAGTGAGGAAAGGTACATGGTTGTTCTGCGCTCTCGCTCTTTCTTTTCTGGATTGAATTGTTGATGGTTCCATTACTCATTTGCTGATGACTTTGGCAAACAGGTTTCTCTCTGCAACTCCTGTCGTCTTTTTTCTGTCTTCCGACTCGTTGTGTTTTGGCTGTTTTTCTCTTCCCTCCCCCTCCCCCCCCCCGCCCCCCCACACCTCATATAGAAAACCTCGCAAAACCGCAGGCATTCCTTTGTATCAGCACAATGAATGAAAAAATGAACAATTGGGATGAGAATTTCAAAAGAAACTCAGTCGAAATGAAGGCAAACGGCAAATGAAGGCAGGCAAAAGGAAAATGAAGGCAGGCAAATAAGGAAGGGACGAGTGCCATTGCGTGAAGGCAGTTTTGTGTTGGAGAGTTAATGAATGAATGCGGAAAAGAATAAAAGAGAATCCGTCGATGAGAAAGAAAGCAAGAATTAGTGCGAATGGAGAGAGTTCTGGCTGAATGAAATGGAAGGAAATGAAAGTGAATGAGTGAGAGTGAGTGAGCGAGTGATTCAAAGTGGGTGGTTGGGTGGGTAAGTGGGTGAATGCGTGGGTGAATGGGTAGGAAGGTGAGCGGGTGGGTGAGTCAGTGAATGGGTGAGTGATTGGGTGCGTGAGTGGTTAAGTGATTGCCACTGCGGGAGCTAGAGAGTGGGTGACTGAGAAAGAGTGAGTTTGGGCGAGAATGAGGACGAGTGCATGGGGGAGGGAGGGAAGGATTGAGTGAGTGAGTGCATGAGGAGGGGAGTGAGGGAGGGAGGGAGGGAGTGAGTGCGAGAGAGTGAGTGAGTGCAAGAGTGAGAGAATGAGAGAGTGTGAGTGAGTGCGAGAGTGCGAGTGTGAGCCTGTGAG